CCTCCCTGCCCCCATCCTTCTCTGTCTATTCCTCCCTCTCCTTCACCATTCCCTCCTCTTCCTCTCTTTAGAAGATGCCTGGGCTCCAGACAAGTGAAAGTAGAAATTGCAACATCTCTTCAGGCCTGGGTTCTGAAGCCCAGACTGTCACTTCTACCACATTCTGTTGGTCTGGTCAAAGCAAGGGACAAGGCCAATTCGTATTCAAGTGTCAGGAAATACAATGTACCTCTTGTTGGGAAGAGTAGCAAAATCATATGTTCAAGGGATGATGAACACAGGGAGGCACCATTTTTAACAATCTGCCAGGCATGGAAAGAGCATATTATGATGATTGTACTCATTTAAAATTATGTGTATTTGGAAGGGAGGTTATATGTATAAAAATAGTATTAGAGAGATACAACCCAAATAAGAATGCTGGTTATCTCTAAGTAAATTTAGATGAATTTTAAATTTCTTCATACATACGCTATGGAAAAAAGTATTTAACAAAGGAATAACTAAAAAAAATAAGAATGATAAATGTTTCAATGAGTTTATAGTCTATCTTTAAGTAACTTTTATAATTCTTAAAATTCTTATAAAATTTTACAATAACAATACTTTATAATCATATAAAATAAATATTTCATTTTGAAAAACTTATGTACCGTTTTTTCTCTAAATGAACACTAATAAAAGAAAAATAATTTCTGACCAGAGATTAATTCTGTTTTACTGACTGCAGATGTGAGAATACAGGACCAGAAAAAAATGACTTATCCAAGTTCCAAGTGCTTATTTGTGGCAAAAATCTCAATCCCAAGTTTTTGATTTGTCATTCCATGGCCTTTCGCATATGCAATGCCGTCTATCCTTTAAAATAAATTTCTCATTAGTTGGAAAGTAGATTTTCTCAGAAACATTCAAGAATTGTTAGAATGTGCTAATATTTCATCATAGAGGAAGAATAGTAAAGGCCTGGGGGTAGCTCTAGGCCTGAGGAAATTCTGCCCTAAAGACTCATACATGTTTGATTCTTTGGACTCTGACACTTAAATTGGATATAAGGATGTCCTGAGTAATTTCAACAACAGGAAAAAAATCAGATTTTATTTTTTCATACAACAAACAGGAAAAGTTTGTTTTGTGTCATCTCTTTTTGAAGTATCAGAATAAAATTGCCTAAAGAGCTTTGTCAAATGTGCTTATGAAAGTAAATTTAGGGTTTTTTTTTTACCTGTTTCTTAATCTAAATGTACTTGTTTTGTTGTTTGTTTGTTTTTCAGGTTTTTACAGCAAGCATAAGAGTAAGATTTTTATATCTCTATTTATAACATCTGCCATTTTAAATATTATTTTGATTATAGTAGGTGAGTAAATTATGTCCTTTATTTCTTCACTTATTTTCTTTTTTTCTTTTTCAGGGCTTCCTATTATATGGTCCTTTTTTTTTTCTTTTCTCCCATGGTCTTTTCTCATTAGTCTCACTTCCTTCCCATTAGTCACAATATATTTAATGGATATCAATAAATGAATTATTATGAATTACGTGATCCATATAAGGCATTGGGATATGCAAAGATTAAGACAAAATTGTTCACCCTGATAATGGTAATTACTATTTTGACTTCTTTTGCATAAACTAGTTTTGCCCACTTAAAAACTTTTACATGAATAAAATAATGAAGATAAAAGCAAATAAAAAATAAATTAAATAATGCAATTTGCATGTATCCGTTGCATCTCATTTCTTTTGTTCCACATCATGCTTGTTTTTTTTTTTTCCATGTCCTAACATGTAGCAAAATCTCCTTGACTCATTGTTGTAGAGGAGGTTAGAAAAATTTTTATACAAAGGGCCACATAGTAATTAATTTAGGCTTTGTTATTGGATATAATCTCTGCTGCGACTACTCAACTCTGTATTAGTAGTGCAAAAAACAGCTGCAGAAGATACATAAACAGTTGATCATGGCTGTGTTGCAACAAAATTGAACATGGAAATTTGAATATTGCCTAAATTTCATGTGTCACAAAATATTATTTCTCTTTTAATTATTTTGACTTTTTGGTTATTTTTTTATTATTATTTTGATTATTTTAAAATGTAATAAGTTTTACCTCTGAATTTGGCCTCAGGTAATAGTTTGCAGATCCTTGCTGTAGAGTATTCCATGCTATATATTAATTTGTTAGTTTTTCTACTTTTGATGTACATTTGGATTATGCCACATTTTGACTACTACAAATTGTTTTGCTTTAAACATTTTTATACTTTTAGTCTTTTAGTGAATAATGGATATCATTTAGAATATAATTATGCCATAGAGTATGTGTAAGTCAAATTTAGTAGATAATACATAAATGGTAGATAATCCAACCAAAAGTGTATGAGAATGTGAGATGCTGAAGATAATTGTCAACACTTTGTCCGTTTTACTTATTGTTGTCATTCTGACAAAATGTGTGTGTTGGTATCTTATTGTGGTTTTAATTGGAATTTCCCTGATGACCAACTGATAAGTTCCTTTTCCTGTTTACTGCTCATTTAACCACAATGTTTTGTGATGAACATATTCAAATATTTTCCCACTATTTTTTATTGAATTAGCTTTCTTTTTCATCTGTAACTCACGAGTTCTTTAACATACTAGATAAAAATATTCTGTATTTCTATTTAAATATCTCTTCCACTATATACATATTATAGATAATGTAAATATGTTCTTCTACTATTAATTTTAAATTTATCCACTATATATGATGTCTTTAAATGAACAGAGTTCGTAATTTTAAGGAAATGTAATTTTCTTTTTTGCTTTTCTTCATTGTTACTACATTTTGCATCCAGTTTAAGAAATTCCCTGTACTTTGAAAACATGAAGCTATTAGAGTTTCTGTTATACTTATTACATTTTTATTTTATTTTACATTGAAAGCTAAAATCCTCTTGAAATCGATTGTTGTAAGTATTAGAATATAATAATCAAGATGTATATATTTTTTCATTCAGATAGTCTTTTGATCAATTTATCGAAAAGTCCATCATTTACTTAATTCTTTACTTCTGGTGTTTTACATTCTATGAATTGGAAAAATGTATAATGATATGTCCCCATCATTATGGTATCATCCAGGGTATTTTCACTGCCCTAAAAATCTACTGTGTTCTACCAATTCCTCTCTTTCCCATCTCAGCCCCTGGCAACCACTGAACTTTTTAATGTCACCATAGTTTTACCTTTTCCAGAGTGTTGTATAGTTGGAATTAAATAGATTGGCATGTTCTAGTGTGGATGTAAGTTTTCAACTCCTTTGGGTAAATACCAAAGAATGTAATTGTATTACATTGTATGTTAGCTTTGTAAGAAACCACCAGACTATGTTCAAAATTGCCTATACCATTTTGCATTTTAACCTGTAACAAGAATTCCTCTTGCTCTACATACTCAAGAACATTTGGTATTGTCTGTGCTCTGGATTTGGGTCAGTCTAAAACGTGTGTAGTATCTCAGTGTTGCTTAAATTTTTATTTCCCTGGTGATATATGATGTGGAGCATCTTTTCATATGCTTATTTACCATCTGCATATCTGCTTTGCTGAGGTGTCTGTTCTGGCTTTTCGCCTATTTTTTTATTTTATTTTATTTTATTTTTTTTATGGTAACTGGTTAATGAAATCCAGTAAGTTTCAGGTATACAATTTAACAGTAAGGCAAACAATTTAACAGTTGGGCTTTTTGCCTATTTTTAAATTAGGTTTTGTTTTCTTATTATTCAATTTTAAGGGTTCTTTGAATATTTTAGATAACAGTAGTTTATCAGATGTATCTTTTGTGAATATTTTCTCCCAGTCTATGGTTTATCTTCTCATTCTCTTGACATTATGTTTCACAGAGCAAAAGTTGTTCATTTTGATGAAGTCCAGCTTATCAATTATTCCTTTCACAGACTGTGCCTTTGGTGTTGTATCTAAAAAGTCCTCACCACACCTAAGGTTATCTAGGTTTTGTCCTACGTAATCCCCTGGGAGTTTTATAGTTCTGTGTTTTAAACTTAAATCTTTGAACACTTTTGTGTTAATTTTTGTGAAGGGTGAAAGGTCTGTGTCTAGATTCATTTTCTTGAATGTAGATCCAGTTGTTCCAGTACCATTTATTGAAAATTCTGTCCTTGCTCCATTGTATTGCCTTTGCTTTCTTGTCAAAGATCAGTTGACTATATTTATGGCAGTTTATTTCTGGATTCTCTATTTTATTCCATTGATCTATTTGTCTATTGTTTTATCAATACCACACTCTCTTGATAACTGTAGCTTTATAGTAAGTGTTAAAGTTGAGTAATGTCTGTTCTCCAACTTTGATCTTCTCCTTCTATACTGGGTTGGCTATTACATGTTTGTTCCCTCTTCATATAAATTTTAGAATGAGTTTGTTGATATCTACAAAATAACTTGCTGAGATTTTGATTGGGATTGAATTGGATCTACAGATCAAATTAGGGAAAAACTGACATAGTGAGAATATGAGTTTTCCTATCCATGAACAAGAAATATCTCTCTATTTATTTAGTTCTTTGATTTTGTTCATTAGAATTTTGTATTTTTTTCTCATCCTGTACATATGTTGTTTGATTTATATACCTAAGTATATCATTTTGTGGGGTTCTAATATAATTGGTATTATGTTTTTAATTTCAAATATTTGTTTATTTTTTTCACTTAAGGAAACGATTGACTTTTATTATTAACCTGTATCCTCCAACCTTGCTATGATCACTTAGTTTCAGAAGTTTTAATTTTTTTCAATTCTTTCAGATTTTCTGCAGAACAATCATGCCATCTGTAGACAGATTATTTCCTCCTTCATAATTTGTATGTATTTTATTTCCTTTCCTTGTCTTATTGCATTAGGTAGAACTTCCAGTATGATATTTTTAAAAAGTGTTAAGAAGGAATATCCTTGCCTTGCACCTAATCCTGGTGAGAAAGTCTCTAGTTTGTCACCATTAAGTATGATATTAGCTGTAGGTTTTTTGTAAATAGTCCTTATCAAGTTGAGGAAATTCTTCTCTATTACTAGTTTAATGAGAATTTTTGACATGAATGAACATTAGACTTAGTCAAATTCTTATAGTGATATGATCATGTGATATTTCTTTTTTAACCTGTTGATGTAATGGCTTTCCTTAATTGATTATCCAATATTGAATCAGCTTTGCAGAGCTAGAATAAACTCCACTTTTTTGTGATGTATAATTCTTTTTATACATTATTGGATTTGATTTTCTGAGAATTTGTTGAGAATGTTTGCCTTTATGTTTATGAGAGATATTGGTCTGTAGTTCTCTTATAATGTCTTTGATTTTGATATTAAGATAATGCTGGCCTTATGATGGGTTAAGAATTATTCCCTTTGCTTCTATTCTCTGAAAGAAACAGTAGAGAATTGACATAAGTTCTTTCATAAATGTTTGGTAGAATTTACCAGTGAACCCATCTGAGCTTGGTGTTTTCTGTTTTGAGACATTACTGATTATTGATCTAGTTTCTTTAATAGATATTGCCTTATTCAAATTGTCCATTTCTTCTTGTGTAGTTTTGGAAGATTATATCTTTCAAGGAATTGGTGCATTTCATCTAGATTATCAAACTTGTGGACATTGAGTTATTTGTAGTATTACTTTATTATCTTTTAAATTTCAATGAGATCTGTAATAATGTCTTTTCTTTGATTGATGATATTGTTCATGTGTGTCTTCTGTCTTTTTTCCTTAGTTAGTCTGAATAGAGGCTTATTGATTTTATTATTATTTGCAAGGAACCAGCTTTTGATTTTGTTGATTTTCTCTATTAATTTTCTGTTTTAAATTTCATTAATTTTTGTTCTAATTTTTATTATTTCTTTTCTTCTATTTACTTTGGGTTTAATTTTTTCTTCTATTACTAGTTTCTTAAGGTGGAAACAGATTATTGATTTTCAACTTTTTTCTTTTTCAATGTATGCATTTAACGCTATATATTTCCCTCTGAGAACTGATTTTGCTGCAAACCACAAATTATGTTTTCATTTTCATTTAGTTCAAAATATTTTTTAACTTCTCTTGTGATTTCTTCTTTGATCCATGTTTTATTTAGAAGTATATTGTTTTATCTCCATGTGTTTTAGAATTTTTCAGTTATCTTTCTGTTATTGATTTCTGGTTTACATCCATTGTTATCCAAAAGCACCCAATGTATATATTTTTTAATTTGTTAAAGAGTTTTTTATATTAACTCTTCATTTTTATTTGGAAGTTTACATTAGCATTCAGATTATCTGTAAATAATAAAAATTTTATTAATTCTTTTGAAATCTTTATCCTATTTTATGCATTTTTATTGCCTTATTTTACTGGCTAGAATTTTCAGTACAAGACTGAGAAGTAGTGAGAGCTTGCATTATCTTATTATCAGTATCCATAAGTAAGTTTTTAATATCCCTCCATTAAGAATAATTATTTGTGCATATTCTTAATCAAATTAGGGGAGTTCCTTTTAATTCCTAGATGGCTAAAAAGTTTATTTTGAAAGGGCATAGGATATTATCAAATGCTATTGAGATACTTAATTTGTTTCTTTTTTTCTGTTAATGTGTTCAATTACACAGATTTTTAAAAATGCCTTCATGTATAGAATAAACCCAATTTGATTATAAAGTATTAATCTTTTAACACTCATGAATTGAACTGGCTAACATTTTAAGATATATACATATACAATTGTTAAAGACTGAACTATTATTTCTCTTTCTTATAATACTATTATGAAGTGTTAATATCAAGATTACCTTGGCATCAAAATTTGAGTTGGAAAGTATTTCTTGCTATTATATTTTTTGAAAGAGCTTGTGTAATATTTTTATGTCATCTTTAAATAATCAGATGTAGTCACAACTGAAGCCATCTGGAGATTTCTTTGGCAGAAATTTTTAAAGATTTAATTTCTTCACTAAATAGTGTTATTCATAAGTTTTCCTAGTGTTCTAGCTTATTTTACATTATTCAAAAAGCCATCGTGAGTTTCTTTTTCTACTTTCTATTAATTTTCTATTCAATTGATTTCTGGTCTTATTTTTTTAGTTGTGCCTTTCTTTCTACTTAGGTTTTAATTCATCACCCTTACTAACTTTTTGAGATAGATAATTATCTTTTTCAAAAAAAGTCTTCCTTCTCTTTTGAAATGTAAATTTAAGCCAATACCTTTTCCTCTAACCTTTAATAAAATGTGCTATGTTCTACAAGTTTAGTTGTATCACAGTATATATATATCTCACATATACCAAAATATATGTAACTATCTTTCAGTTCAAAATATTTTCTACTTCCCAAGTTTCCTCTTTGAATCATGAGTGATTTAGCTCTGCATTGCTTAATTTACAAACTTTGGTGATATTAATTTTATTTTTGTTATTGATAATATGGCTCAATTCTACTGCAATCAGGTGTCATACTGTAAAAGTCTTCAATTTTTAAGAATTTATCATTACCACTTTATTGTCTTGTATTTTGGGAAATGATTCATATGCATTAAAAAAAGTGTACATTCATTTGTTGTTGCATGTAACTCTCTGCGTATGTCACCTGGCTTAGTTTTTTTAATCATGGTGTTCAGATATTATTATTCTTACACTTTTAACTCATTGTAATATCAATGATTAAGAGAAGGCTGTTGTAGGTACTTGGCATCAGGTGACTATAGATAATAATTTAATCGATTGTTTTGCCTTTGCATACATACCCTAAGTCACCAGTTTCCCATTTACACTGGTAATTAGATTAATGCCTTTAAAGCAAACTGCATTAAAAAACCTATACTATATCTCATCCTTAAGATTTTATTTCATTAGAACCACTTTGGTACCAAAAACTGATTTAATCTGTATATGTTCAGAAGAGTAAACACTACAAATGTTTCAAGAATAATACTTCAATTTAGGAATTAGAAATAACATGATTGTGAGAGGAGGCCTTCATTCTGCCTGTGCTCCATGCACCTCCTTCACCAGCGTGCCCTTTTCTTCCCTTAAAAGACTCTGGGATACAACAGTACACAAATTAATAAAGAAGTATAATGTAGAACTGAGCATAAAAACAAAAACAAAAACAAAAAAAACTCATTTAGTCTGTGTGTGTTCAGAAGAGTAAATACTACAGATCTTTCAAGAATAGGACTTCAATATAGGAATTAGAAATAACATAATTGTGGGAGGAGCTGGGGAAAAATGGTCTGGAAGACTTTGTAGCAGAGGAGAAAGAATCAGTAATAATTTTGGCTTAAAGCACTAATGTATTTGGAGAACCCAGAGATTAGAGAAAAGTCTAACAAGCCAATACATCTAGCTGTGATAACTACGAAAGGGAAACGCATAAGAAGGCATGTGAACTTTCTATGCCCCAGGTCTCCGAGAATAACGGCTTCTGCTTTACTTCCACCTTCCAAATCTCATGCAGATTCTTTTCATTGGTTAATCCAGAACCAGTGATGGTGGTACCTAGTTGACAATAGGCAATCCAACACATATCATATTAGTTATAGACTCTGTTTTATTATTTTTATTGTTTCCTTAAAGTTTAATACATGTGTCATAGCTTTATAACAGCCTCGTATTTTTATTACCCACAGATAATGCTATGATTTCATTATATTTCACTTACCCAGAAATGGCAAGAGTAACTTAACACAAGTGAAATCATGCTCGTTGCTCCAGGAAGGCCCGTGTATCACTGAGGTTGGAGTTGAAAGAAATATGAGTGTCCTGTCAAATCCTGAACTGCTGTCATTTAACAAAGCATGAATTTTTTTAACTTGTTATGCAATAGATAGGCAATTCTAATTAGGATCATAATCTTTTACATCATAGTCGTATCTTTCCCCAATGATCTCAGATACAGAGGAATATTATTTCATCTGGCTTAAAATGTGTAATTGTCTCATTTTTATTTACAGTAACTTGGTCTCTTCATCGTTGTTGCCAAGATGGTTGGATTGGTTTCCAAAATAATTGCTATTATTTTTCTAAACAAGAAGGAGATTGGAATTCAAGTAGATATAACTGTTCTATTCAGCATGCTGACCTAACTGTGATTAATACTATAGAGGAAATGGTAAGTAATCTAATAGACATTCCTTATAAATTTTATTGAGTAGGGGCATTGAAAATATTCAAATTCCATTATGATTTTTAAAACTTTTACCACATGCCTCTCCATATATACAGAATATTGAAGATGTTCATAACATGCCATGGAAGATACAGTTGAAAAAAAATGGTGATAATTTGTTTGGATAGTGTAAAACTTATATCAAGTAGTAGACTTGATAGCTAAAGAGAGAATTGCCGCAGGAAGGTTGAGTCTCCATTTCTTTGAGGAACCTTCTTCTGACTTTTTAGTCTTGCTTTGCTGTCTGTGTCTGAGGTCCCACTGCAGCCTCCATCAGAGCACTTACTACCAGTAATGCAATAGATATATAATTGAAAGTTTCCCCATAGCCTGGAACATGAGCTTGCAATGAGCAGATACTGTGTTTTATTTGAAATTGTATCTTTTGCTACAGCAGAAAGGCAGATACAGATTAAATGCTTATGGATCTTTGTTGAATAAATGTTGATTTTTCTTGGCAAAAATGTTATGAAAAAGAGAGAATCTCCAAGAACTGTAATAGGAGATAACGAAACTCCATAGCTCTGCACTTGTGAAATTTTTTACTTCCCCAAATCACTTCTGTGATAAGCATATCTTTTTTACTTTTATTTAGTTTCTTTAAAAGTGAAGGGTCAATGTAAGAGGTAGTGTAACTTGATTTGAATTTTTTTGTGAATAATGTACAATTAAATGTTTAAGTTGTAAAGAGTACTGCACAGCAGTCAACATTATTAAAAGAGAATTGTGTGTTATTGCTATGATGAACAACGTATTTTTATGTAATCTGCCTGAAGATTAGTTCAAACATAAATGGAAAAGCCAAACTGGAGCAATTTATAGATCAGTACAAGGAAACTAAACTATTTTGGAAGCAACAAAGAATAAACAATTGAGGATAAAATGTGAAAAACTAGATATTTTGACTAGACACAGAAAATCAAATATACAGCCTCAACTAAGTGGAAAAACCTTCTGCAGTCAATCAATAGTTTCACTCCTGAATTTTACAAGACTTTTGCAGTGAACATTTTGAGTAATCTTTAAACTGTCATTTACAGTTCCTCTTGTGGGGGAAAAAAAAAGGCTGTTAGCAGCAAGATGGAGAAATACTGAGTGTTAGAAAAATTTTTGAAGGATAAAGAAATAACAAGGCAAAATATTTTTTAAATCTTCACTTATAAGATTCTTGTTGACAAAGAGAAAATAGTGAATATCATGGAACACAAAAAAAGTATACAAAAATAATTAGTTTTAAAATCAAGAGAAATCATGAAACTATCAGATAAGAATTTCTGTATTTTTTGCATCCAAAAAAAAAAAAAAGACTGATCATACAATATCCTGATATATTTTGAAGATTGTAGATGACTATTATGTACTACATGATCTAGACACAATTTAGAGACAAATAGAATGATGTAAACCTATCTGTGGAGTGATAAAAGTAATGTACACAAGAATTTTAAAGGATCATTTATTTAAAATAGTTTAAAATATTATATATATTTATTTAAATTAAAAAATGTTTTCCTTAGTTAAAATGAGATGGAACTTGTTTCATGAAATATTTTTGTATTTATTTTCATCTACTTAAAATTATCTTGCATTTTTAACAAGGAGCTAATGGGCATTTCTTTGTTAGGCAAATGACAATTAATATTTTTCATAGGACAGGCTCTCAGAAATCCAACTCTCAGTTGCCTGTCACCAAGACCATAACTACTGAACCCCATCTACACACACACACACACACACACACACACACACACACACACTAAATTCATCCTTTCTTGTATATATTTTTTCTACTGTCAAACAAACTCTTTCCTAAGCCTACACTACGAATGTTCTTTTCTCCCTTATCTTCTGTACTTATAATGGAATCTTCTCTTCCCTTCCATATCCACCTCTTAGAACATATTCTATTTGAAAGTCTCCCATAAAAAGCAGATCCTTTTTCCTATAAACTCAAATTTTGCCTGTACTCATTATATTGATTATCTTCTCCTATCTCATAGAATATTTTCTAACTCTATGTTTATATTTTTTCCCACTAAATAAAACCCTCAGAATCCAAAGAGAATGTTTTATTAATCTGTTCTTTTATAATGCCAAAGCTTAGCCCAATTAATTGAAAATTTTTTCAAATGCATTCATAAAGTGCTACAGAAGATGGTTTATTAAAATATAAATAATTATTAGATATGAATGGACCCTAATGTTGTGATCAGTCATGATTTCCTTATATTTATTATAAAATTGAAACATGCAGTGATGTAATATAAAGTTTATGATTTCTTAGGTATTTAGTAGCAGAGTAGACTCGATGACTTTCTATATATAAGACAATTTTATGGTAAAAAAGGGCTCGTAGGTAGCAAGAAATTTCAAAATTATATCAATAAGAAAGAAAAAGAAATATCAGGAAAATTATATTTTTCCTTAAGTGATATCTTTAAAAATCAAAATAGTTGGCAAAAAATAAAATATGATAATTAAATTCTAATGGAATTAGATGTATGAAGGGTATGTGTGTACACACACATGTGATAATTTTGGGGAAAAGTTGATGTAAAACATTAAACTCAATATACTAGTAATTACAAGAAAGAGGAAAAACATCATAAAAATATCTGAACAAGAGCTCAAATGGAAAACTCTGTCTTTTCAGAAGTTTATTGTTTAAACATTCTAGAATAGATTTTCATATTGAATTATATCAATTTGGAATCAAAAAGTGTCTTAAAGAAAATATATCTCATATTTTTGTTTCATAGATAAGAAGACTGAGGATCGGTGGGTTAAATATTTTTTCAAAATGCCATAACTGTTTCCTGTTGTAGCTAGGAGTTAAATATTTCTCACCTTGCTCTTCACAGCCTAAACAGCAAGAGAAACATGATAGGTTTTAGTAAAAACTGACACATAAAATTATAAAATTTATTTTGTCTTTAAAGAATTTTCTTAGACAACACAAATGCACTTCTGATCATTGGATCGGGCTGCATATGACAGAAAGTCAAATGGGAAAATGGATAAATGGAATCATATTTAACAACTGGTGAGTTTTTTTCCTGCCATTATTTAAATATAGATAGTACAACCTTCTTTAGAACCTGTGCATTAGTAACATTTCTCTAGAGCCTAGGATTTGTATGCATGTTGAAAAGATGGAATGGAGAAGATTGAATCATGTTTGAGATTAGTTCCAAGAGTCAGCCAGAGAGGCTGGGAATCGAGCTCTAAGAGGAAAGTCTCCTAGTTGGTTATTTTGAAAATAAAGACCTGATATTCATAAACACAGTCAAAAAATTTAAACTTTTGTTTGATTTTTGCTTATCTTCTCCAATTCTATATTCATATTTTAAGTTTTATGCTACCTGTTTGCTGACACCTTTTACAATTTATGAATTTGTTATTTTAGCTTGATTTTATTTGCAAATTGGGTCTAAAGACCTGAGTTCACTGCACCCATAACCTCAGTATAACCAGCCCAAATGATGACTACCAGCCCCTTTAACCACTTAGTTCATATTAGAATTTTTCAATAGCAATACAGCTGACACATTGGACTGAATAGTTTTTTGCCATGGGGAAGGGTCACTTTCTTGTGCATTGTGGAATGTCAGCATCATCTCTGGCCTCTACCTACTAATAGGGGCAATTTTCTCCTCTCCACTCCACTTGTGACACCAAAAAATATCTCCAGTTATTGTCAAGTGTCTCTTGTGGGGAGCAGGGAGAAGTCAATGAATACAGCTGACACATTGGACTGAATAGTTTTTTGCCATGGGGAAGGGTCACTTTCTTGTGCATTGTGGAATGTCAGCATCATCTCTGGCCTCTACCTACTAATAGGGGCAATTTTCTCCTCTCCACTCCACTTGTGACAACAAAAAATATCTCCAGTTATTGTCAAGTGTCTCTTGTGGGGAGCAGGGAGAAGTCAAAATTGCCTGGGCTTAAGAACCATTGGTTAATATGAACTGGTATGAACTGGTAGTTCCACTGATTATACGTAACTAACTTAATTTCAGTTTAACAAATATAGATTCTTGGAAGACAAACTCTTATTGTCCAGAGTTACAGATATCTTAACCCTAGCAAGAGAGTACTTCATCACAGCGCACTTTTTTAGGTCCTTAAAAAGATATTTTTAAAAGATGTCATTGGGCAAGGGAGAAATCATAGAACTCCTTAGTAAGTAGTATTTAATCTCTCTATTGTAGGTTTGATGTGAGAGGGAATGAAAAATGTGCTTACCTCAGTGATGATGGTGCAGCAACAGCTAGATGCTACACAGAAAGAAAATGGATTTGCAGGGGAAAAAAAGGCACAAGGTAAATGTTTCTGATGATAGACTTATAACCATTGGTGGGATTGTTTTAATCGGTAACCTTTTTTTCTTTCTTTCTGTATAACTTTCAACATTTTACTGCTTTAATATTATAGTCTAATAATACATCTTGATAATTGTTAAAGTAATTTCCTTCAACTTGTATTTTTACTTTTCAAATGACATGGGTCTTTGCTTTTCAATAGCAATTTAGAAGAATCTTGTAATTTCATACTCTATACGTCAATGCTCGGAGTGTTGTATTTATAACATTATTTTCTTATTAACTTTGTATTGTTTTTATCTTTTTAAATAACATACAATTTCTCTAAACAGTTATGGAAAATTATTTACCATACACATCCCTATTACATGTATCTATTTTTTTTGTTGTTTTTACAATTATGTAATTTTATTATCTTTTAAAATAATTGTTTCTATATAGAAATGTGACTATTTGGGGTTATTCTTCTGTTCAACATCCATTCGAAAGCTCTCATAATTTCTAATAATTTGTGGATTTTTTTAAATACTGCAAAACAAAGCATCTAATAAGAGTTTTATTTTTTCCTATTGTAACTATTACTTATTTTTTATCTAATTAAAATGGGTAAGATAGCCAGGAGAATATTGGCAGTTAATATTTGTGACTTGTCACAAATTTGTGACGATATTTGTCACATTTTACGGAAAGTGCTTTTAACATTTCAACATTAGTACTGTTTTATCTAGTGTTTTTAATAGTTCTTTTCTATTCTTATTTGCTATTTTTATTTCTTTCTTTTCTTTTTCTTTTTCTTTTACTTTTTTTTTTTTGTTGTTGTTATCTAGGAGAAACAAGGGAGGTTTCGCCCCCTGAGCCATCTGAAAGAATGTAACCCAGCAGACTTTCATGTTGAATTTATAGTTTCCAGAAATGGGAACAATAAATTTCTGTTTTAACAAACCCAATTTGTGATACATTGTTGCAGCAGTGTTAACAAACTTGTACATTGTGTATTCAAGATCAGTTTATTTTCATTTCTATATTCCATCTTTCTTGAATACAAGCCTGAGCTAGAATGTCTCTTTCTTGTTTCAAGGCTCTTTCTTAAGTTAAGGAAAAATATAACCTTCAGGCATCTCAGTTCAGTCCAGTCTAGTTTTACCTATCATGCTACAAAAGTGGACAAGAGCAGCACTCACCAAATCACCCTAAATCTGTATTGCCATATCCAGTGAACTTGCTTCAGTTAACATCTCTCATGTTTTCTCAGGCAGTATTTAACATTAATTTTCTATTTCCTCATTCTTTAAATACTGTCTTCTAAGAATTCTGCAACATCGTATTCGCCTGAGATTCCTTCTTGCTCCCTGACTTCTCTGCTTTCTCTGATTTCAGTACACTTTTTTTGTCCCTGTCAAGTATGTTAGCCTTCCCATAGTTTTAGGCCTTTTTCTCTTATCCCTTTGTACTCCTTCCTAGGCAATCTCTTTTAATAATTGCGGTCAATATCCACCTATTCCACAATGAAACTCTCCCTGAATTTCAGGTTTTAATATCTAACTGCCTACTCCACTTCCGTGTCTCAACTGTACCTTAATCCAAACATGTCTAAAATTTAATTTATAATTTTCCACCCAAATAAGGCCATTGTTAGTGCATTAATGTGAACCACCATCCAACTAGTTACATAAAAACACCTGGTATTATCCGTAATGTTGTTTTCTTCATCTATCATTTCAGTCAATCAATAAGTCTTATTAATGTTTATATTTCAATTCACTTCTCTTTATCATCAAAGCTTTCATACTGGTCCATCATCTCTTGCCTAATAGTGAATTGGTATCCACTTCCTCATATTCCTTTTCCCCTACTATCGCCAGGGTAATGATTTTGAAACTCAAAACTGACCGGGTTACTTTGCTAATTGGCTTCCAATTGCTTTTTGAAATGAAAGTGGGAATCCTTACATGGCATGTATGACATTTCCTATTTTACATCCATATTTCACACCCAGCTTATCCTTTCTTGACCTTTACTAACACAGGCTTTGTTTGCATTTTGTAAAAGCATAACATACTCACTAAACCCAAAAGTTTTTTCACCTCTTGGAAGATTTCTTCTTTCTATTTAATTCTACTTCAGATATAAATTTGTCACATTATTTAATGAAGTACTAGCCAAATTCAGTGACAACATCAGATCTTCCTACTTTATATTGTTACTGTTGTGATGATCGGAGTTCTGGTAACACACAGGTCTCAGTCCTTATCACCGATGAAGAAATGAATTTCTACTTCGTGACAATGATGAAAAGTATTATTTATTAAAAGAACATTTTAAGGTAGAAGACATGGCAAGCCTAGAACTGGCTAACCACTGGAAATGTGGATATGTATCTCAGTGGGAGGTTGGGCACGGGTTATAGCCTGTAAGATAGAGAGCTATAATTCCAAGAGAGGGAGAGGTCTGCATTACAAAGTTGTTCTTAGGTGATTAGCACATGAGGTAATTTTGATTGACATTTAGCTGCTGTATAACACTTTGCCTAGTGCACATGTGCTTACCCAGAATATAGTTGGTTATAATTAGATTCATGAACTTCCAGGAATAAACATGGTATTAAAATGATGGCATAATGAGGCTGAGGTTGTGGGCAGGTTAGGGTGGTAACCTTTTGTGCATGTGTCTGTAGCCAGATTAAACCAGCTATAGATTTTGGCCCTCCCGTCCTTTGTCTCTGGGGGTGCAGGAGGGATTCCTAACCACCAATAAGGTGTTCTTTGAGTGATCTCTAGGCTGGGCCTCTATTTCTTTGTTCCTCTGTTGCTCATGTCTAACTAGCTACCTAACAATATTTTCATAAGTATTATGCAACTTTTCTTCATAACACCTATCGAATTTGATTCAACTAATACTTATTGAGCACCTATGATGTGTCAGGCATTGCTTTAAGTAATGACATAATAGAAATCCAAAAGGCAAAATCCTTGCCCACATAAAGCTTAAATATTAGATGAGAGGACAGAAAATAAAATATAATATTTTGAAAAATACAAAGAAAAGCAAATTATTTGGAAAAATAAAGTTTTAAATTTATATTTACCTGATTCATTATATTATTAATGTTTTTGAATCAGGCTAGAACATAAAGGCCCATTCAAACATTGACAAAAATGTTTACTAGTGTTCTGCTGAGGTTATTACCATTAAAGAAAAAAACTACAAACCAGCAAAGGATTGTGGAGATCAGGGATACAGATGTCACCTTGAAGGATAATTCTTATGACTATGTTTGGAACTATTTGACCATCAAAATAGGAGATAATGAACCATTGAACGAAATGTGAAAATGGGAGTCCACAAAGATACACATACAAAAATGAATAAATTGAAATTTTAATGATGAATGAGATTCATAAAATTTAGAAGTACCTCTTGTCAAAGCAAAAATTGCATTAAAAAATGTTACTCGAAGAAGGAAGACTTTATAATAGGCTATAGCAATAGAGGAAATAAGCCAGAACTCACTTTGAACAAAAATCTGCTGAAACAAAAGGCAGCGGGATTTTTAAGAGCTGGGGTAAGGTGGAGATCATACACCATCTGTGTTTGCTACATGACTTTACGCAAAGGAAAATTAGACCTTCATGATAGGAGGTGGTTTTACAACTTGGAGCTGAGAACCCACTGAAGTCGTCTTCTACCCTCCCACAGAAACTGAGAAATAAGGGTGCTATCTTTCTTTATGATTACATTTCAAAGGGATGGCTCCCAGGTCCTTGAAAAAGACATTTCTGGGTTGTAAAATCTTCTTAAGAGGATTTACAAAAATTTACATCTCAAAGGCGCAGAGAAAAAATTTCCATTTACAATTTTCTAAAATAAATGCTCTTTAAAAAGGAGGCCAGGGGTACATAGTAAGAATGAATGAAACAAAGTTTAGGCAAGCTGAGGAAAATCTTAAGGCCATCTTGGACACTCCCTACACACAAGAAAAATTAATCACAAAAGGAAAAAAGTAACTTGACAGTGAAGTGTGGTAGATACTACTTTAATCGTGTGAACAAAGTGAATATCGTCAGTAATGGGACAAATAAAATTGTGTACCATCTAAAAGGACACAGTGAGAAGACAGCTTCCCTGCATCACTTCTCTACCATTCCTGCCAAGGAGTCATAACATGAATAAAACCACGAGAAATAATCAAATTCAAATTCAAGAGCATTTTATAGAATAACCAGCTTGTAATACTCAAAATGTCAAGATCGTGAATGTCAAGGAAGGTAAGGAACTTCTTTAGCTAGAAGGAAACTAAAGAGACATAATATCTAAATGCAGGAAATGAGTCTGAGCTGGGTGTTTTACTCTAACGGACATTATTGTGAGAATTCAGAAACTCCGAAGGGAGTCTGAGATTTAGTTGGGAGTATGGTGGCAATGTTCATTTGTTGATTTTGATAATTGTATTGTGATTAAGATATTGTTTTGTAGGAAACATACACAATGTTATCCAATGATACTGGAAATTTCATAATAAAATGACATCAATTTGGCAACTAATTCTCAAGAGGTTCAGGAAAAATTTTAACTATTTTCTGAATACATAATCTTCTTAAAAGTTTGTGATCATTTCTAGGATTAGATAAAAGTTTTATAAAGTCTAAAGTAAACAACATATTTAACACATTTTACCCAATATTTCAGTTTTAAGGTTTATGTCATAGAAATAAAAGTGCTATTACTTAAGAAAATATTTAGAATATTAACTATAGATAGTTTATAATAGTAAAATCCTGGGAAAAAAAGTTCATGCTCATCAAGAAATGAATAAAGAATGTATAAATCCACTCTATGTTGCAACTCAGAACTATATAAAATTTGCATAAAGTATTATTAATAATAAAAAAGCTAAATACAGAAAAGCAGGCATAATTTAATAACATTTGTTGTAAATAAAAAATAATAAAAATTCTGAACATAAATGCATCAGCTTACACTAGATTATGTTAGCATATACAAAAAAGTATATTTTAAATTGTTAACATAGATTATTATGAGACTAGGACAAATGTAGATGATGGAGGGAAAATGAAGATGAGATTTTGGTGTTTAATTACAGTTTTAAATTCTTACTCCTGAAGATTAATATTAGAACCTAATAGGCCCAAAACTTTGACTATTGATTATTCCATTGTCAATTTTTTTGAAATTCTAATATTGACAAACCCATTTGAAAACACTGCCGCAGGTTTCAGAGTAAATTTTGTTTTCCTTGATGGCAGCACAGCTGTTTTCTGTAGCTGGTCCTTTTATGAAGAATCTTCGGAAGGGAGAATAAATACATTATTAATCATTTTTTGCTGAAGATATCCATTTGTATTTGCAGCTAACACGCTCAATTAAAAGGTAATTCAAAGTTTCAAGATATTTTCAAATATCTTTACTAGCTAAACATTATTATAGGGTCTCTGTAACTTAGTATTACTGTCTGTGAGTGGCAGAATTCTCAGTCTATTTGCAAATGACAGAGCTAAGAATAAATGTGTGCCCACATTCCTGTTCTAGTATTCTTTGCATTGTTCCATGTGGTCTCTTAGATTAAAAAATAAGATTAAGTTACATGGACAGCTCACAACATTTCTTGGCTTCTCATATCAACTCGTACAATGGTGATAATTATATTTGTTATGAGGTTAAATGAATTAATATTTGTAAAGCACTCAGTATACAAACTGATCCATGAAAGCTTTAAATAAATTGTATATTTATTATATTATTTATCCATAAGGCAATCTAATAAATACAATAACAAAGTTATCTACAAAATACTATAGTGTTAGTGATTTATTCTATTAGGAATTTATTTAAGTTGAAGAAAAAGTTTAAGAAAGAGTCATGAACAAGATGCACGTGATCATCAAAACTTCCAAATTAATAAGGGGCAAATAAGTACTGGATTTTCATATTGGAAAATACACTGTGTCCAAGTTGATGTTGGAATTCTGTATTGAACATATTTTGAACAAAAATCCCTAGGCATGGTCTAAAGTTAAAACTCAGTCTTATAGATAGTGTTGAGTGGATTTGGCATGACGAAAAACCTAAGTTGGCACCTTCCTAAGTAGTCTATCAGGTAATGTGCAGTGATAGAACTCTATCCTCAGATGATACACACCCGTAATTTTATCGTCCATTGCAGACAATGGCTTCAGTTGACTTCCTTAGATTGATTAATTTGCAGTGAGGTGGAAAATAAGTAATATTTAATGATAATATAAGGATGAAGGAAAAATAACAACAGTATCATTAATTGATTACCATAGTGTATTAATTTCTTATCTCTATTGTAATGAATTACCACAAATTTTGTGGCTTAAAACAACACAAATTAATTATTTTATAGTTTGACTGGTTGCATGAGAGTAAAATCAAATGTCTGCAGGCCTGCCTTTTGCAGACACAATGAGAAAATCTATTAATTGCCTTTTGCAGCTTCTAGAGACTGTCTATACTCCTTGGCTGTGGTTATAAGACTTGGACCTCTGTGTTTGTCTTTACATCTTCTCTGACTCTGCCCCTACTTTCTTCTCCTGTAAAAACTCAGGATTACATTGGGCCCATCTGGATAATCCAGCATGAGTATACCATCTCAAGATTATTAATTTAATAACACCCTTGAAGTCTTTTTTTGCCTTACACGTTAACAGAGTTACAGGGTTTGAGGACGAAGATATAGACATCTTTGAAACCCTTATTCTGCCTACCAACATAGGGATACAATTTGAATTTACTGGTTTTACTATTTGTATTTATAATTAAACATTTTATTATAAAATTAATATAAGCACACAAAAACATTGATGAAAAATATTAAATCCTCAATCACCTCATGTAATTGCTGAGAGAATTTTGGATTATTTTGTTCTGTCTTGTATTTCATTTCTCATTTATCTTTTAATGATAATCCTTTGATAATCATACAATACAAAAAATTACACACAGTTTTTCAATTACTGAAAATGGCCGAACATTGAAAGCTTTGAAAACAAAAGACTACAATGGTTCGGCCCAACTTTCCATATAAATTATGAATAGTTTTTAAACAATAAATGTGAAACCATTATTGTTTTCAAGTTCATTTGCTTTGAAAGCCATACTAAAATATCTATCTTTATTCTAATAAACATTAACTTATTTTTCATCCTTCAAATTCTCCACTGCCAAGAACTAATTGAGAGTGGCTTTTGGTGGACTTAGAGATGCTTTATGAAGATAAGTTTCACAACAGACAATAAGTCAGATTGCCTTTTAGTAAAGACTCACATCTTTGAATCTAATGGAGAACTATCCACCCAGGTCCATGTCTTCTTCTGGGAGGTAAAGTTAAGCCCAATCCACACATAGTTTGATTGTTTTAGATTCTTCTGTATAAAAGCCTAAAATGTGGGTAACGAGTAGCTAAATGAACATAACATTTTAATAATTCAAACATATTAAGTAAGATTTTAGAATTTTATTAGACAACTAGCACTGCATGAAGATTCTTATACTAATTAATTCATATCCAATTTTCTCACACATTATATAATATATTACATACACATACACATACACCCCTTGCAAATTGAATACAAGTCTTCAGACCAGGACTAGCGTGAGTCAGGTGAGGCACTGGCTCGAGCTCAAAATTTAAGAGGACCTCAAAACAATAATCAAGGTAAATGATAACTTAATAGAAGGGTGGGAAGAAGTTTGAAGAAAGCTTTATAGAGGCTAATGTCATAACATGATACTAAACCACTTACCATTTCCAGTTGGTCCTGAACAATTAGTAGATGAGATTTTCTCCCTAAACAATACCCATAACTGTCACTCCAACTTTTTAACTCATTAGAGAACCAATAACACTTTTCTTGATATTTGAGCCATTCTGATGGGCACAATCCTATAGTGAAAAGGGGATAACAAAGAAAAATTAAATTACTTATATATCTCTAAAACTTGACAGAATATTTATGTGTTACATGAATAAAAGTGGAGCTATAATAAAATTACTCATAACAAAGTGTTCAGACTCACAAGGTGTTTAAAACATAAATGATAATTCTTGGAACTTAAGGAAATTAATTTAGTAAGATAAAGCAAAACTTATACATAAGAGATTTTTCATTACATCATCTAATATATTTACTATAATAACATTAACCTATGAAGATATATATTATATTAATGCTATTTGAAAGAATAAATGAAAGATCTATGCTTTTTGCTTAGAATTCATTCATATAAAGTTTTAGAATCTCTATCCCTGTTTTATATCTGTAAATCTTTTAATATTGCCTTTTGAATATTAAAAATATTGATATTAATTTTTTAAATCCCTTCATAATTGCGAGTTCATAAAATCTTTTGATTTTCTTAAAGTTAAATTGAGTTATTCTCAAATTAAAAATATCTGAGACTTTTGTCATAATAATGGGAGAAAAGTGAAGTATATATAAAAATCTAAGTGCAGGCCAATATAACTATTCAAACTTGTGGCCAATACAATCTTTTTTTAATTGAGATAAAATTCGTGTAACATAAAATTTGCTATTTAATCATTTAAAATATCGTAGGTTTTAGTGCAGCCACAGTGTTGTGCAAATCTGACTAATTCCAAAATATTTTTATCACTCAAAAATGAAACCTCATAAACATTAAGCAGCCACTACCCATTTCCCCCACTTCTAGCCTTGGCAATCACTAATCTGTTTTCTGTCTTTATAAACTTGACTATGATGGACATTTCATATAAATGGGATCATATAATATGTAGCTTTTTGTGTCTGGCTTTTTTATTTAGCATAAAGTTTTCAAGGTTCATCCAATATAAGCACGTACCTGTATCTCATTCTTTCTTATAGTTATATAATATTCCGTTGCATGGAGGTAGAACATTTTGCTTATCCATTTATCAACTGATGGACATTTGGCCTGCTTTGGCTATTATGAATATTTCTGCTATAAACATTCATATATGAATTTTTGTGTGGCATTTGTTTTTATTCTTTTGGGTATATACTTAAGATTCGATCATACGATAATTTTATGTTTAAGTTTTTGAGGAACTGTCAAATTGTTTCCCATAGTGCGGCACCATTTTATATTTCTACCAGCAACATATGAACAATTTTTCAGGTCCTTACCGATACTTATTATTTTTGTTTGACTATAGCTACTCTAGTGGGTGTGAAGTGGTTTCCCATTGTGGTTTTGATTTCCCATTTCCTTAATGACTAATCGTGTTAAGCAACTTCTTGTGTGCTTATTGAATTTTTGTATAGTTTCTTTGGAGAAATTTTTTTTGTCTTTTGCCCATTTTTTAATTAAGTTGTTTGGGTTTTTTGTTAGTCTTGGAGTTAGTTACAAGAGTTCTTTATATATTCTGGATACTAGGTATCTATTTGATATATAATTTGACATATAATTTGCTGTTTTGCCTTTTCAATTCTTTGATAATGCCCTTCGATGAACAAATGTCTTTACTTTCTGTGAAATTCATTTAATCTATTTTTTTCTTTTGTCACCTATGCTTTTGATATCATATCTGAAATCATTGTCTAATCAAAGGTTATAAAGATTTACATATATTTTTCTCGTAAATTTTTTAAAATTTAGCTATTATATTAAGGTTTTTGATCCATTTTGAATAGGTTTTCTTATATTGTATTAGCTATGTATCCAAATTCATTCCCTGCATATGGCTATCCAGTTGGTCGAGTCTCATTTGTAGAAAAGACTGTTCTTTCCACATTGAATGGTTTGGAACCCTTATCGAAAACCATTCAACTATAAGTGTATGGGCTTAACACTGGACTCTCAGTTCTATTCCATTGATCTATATGTCTATTTTAAGGCCTGTACAACACTGTTTTGATTACTGTAGATTTGTAGTAAGTTTTGATATTGGAAAATGTCAGTCTTCCAAATTTGGTTTTCTATTTTCAAGATTGTTTTTGCTATACCTGAAACTAATATAAAATAATATTGAATGTTCACTATGATTGAAAAAAATTGTTTTTACTATTCAAGATCCTTTGTAATTCCATATGAATTTTAGGATCACCTCATCCATTTCTGAACAACAAATAAAATTTTGATAGGAATTTCTTTGAATCTGTAAACCATTTTGGTTAGTATTGCCACCTTAAACAAATTGTGGTTTATGCATGTAATGAAATGTTATTCAATAATAAAAAAAAATAAAGTGTTGATACATCGTACAACATGTTTGAACTTCCAAATGTTATTAAGCTAAGTAAAAGAAGCAAGACACAAAAGGTCAAATATTATGATTTCATTATATGAGTATTCAGGTAAATCCATAGCAACAGAAAGCAGATTAGTAACTTCTAGGAGCTGGTGGGGACAGGGGAGCAAAAAGGATAATTAGTTATTACGTATGTAATTTCTTTTTTGAGTGATGAAAATGTTTTGAAACTAGACTGATATGGTGGTTGCACATTTAATGCTCTAACACCACTGAACTGTTTAATTTTAAATGGTTAGCTTTATGTTTGTGAATATTACCTTAATTAAACAAGAAGAAAAAAGTAATAGGAAATCACTATCTTGTAATTTGATGTACAGCATTTAGACTAATGAATATTTAATGGTGGTTATGATTTCATTTTTACCTATCAAAGCTTTCTTAACTGAAAAGTTTGTGTTATGATATCCAACAAAATGAGGAATTAGAATGTAAAATATGTGGTAAAATTACAGTATTTTAATTGATTTGGGACTTTGGGACTTGTACATGTAAAACAGAGAGATAATTATAGTAAACCATATATAGATGATATTTTTATATGTGATAAAGATTAAAATACAAACTAAGGGATTAGAGAAAAACTCTTTGATAAATAATTATAAAGTAAATTAATCTGCACCTTCATCATATATCATACTATAAAATCAATGTCAAAAATTCAAAGAGTTAAATGTTAAATTAAACTAAAAATAAATCAAAAGTAGAAGAGGTAGTTTTCCTAAATTCTTTATGATTGGAACTTCTAAGCTTAAAATCATAATGGATAATTTCTTAGATATAATTACTTTGATCTATTTTGTATTTCAAAAGGATAAGTAAAAAATAAAAAATATTTACATACTGCCTTATCACAATTAAGTTTTCATATTTGTATGTCTCAATTTGATTTTAAATTTTTGCAGAGAAGAACATATTTTTTATGTTCTGTTTTACAGCTCTCTTCCCATTGCAAAAAAATTTAAAGAATATATGAATCAGGTTTAGAGTGAAAAGTTAATTTATATCAAATCTTTGCTTGTTGATTTAATTCATAGCATACATGTTCAATGAGATTTTCAAACTTAGAGGATCCAAAAGAATAAAATAAGTATAGGCCAAAGCTTTGAGAGATACCTGTAAGATCGGTAGCTCTTGAAATACAGTGGTCTGCATCTTTATTAGTTAGATTTCCTTTTGTGTCACTGTTCATTTTCAGATTTCCAATATCATCATGCTGGGTGATATTTGAATTATTACCTTTTTGGCATTTTAGCAACACTCCCTGAGAAACTTGAAAACAGGATTATAAGCCTGAGTAAATGTCTTCTCTGTGAAATATCTCAAAGACAAATTCTTTAGATTGATTCTGATGATTGAAACAAGAAATAACTGAAGGGATAACTAGAAAGTTTCTTTTTTATTATCATATCTAATGAAAAATAATTTCAAATATTACACAATTAATTTATTTATAGAACATATATTTGTTGAGGCTCTATTCTGTCCTAAAAACTGATGATACAGTAGTAAGTAAAGCAAAGTTCCTACTTTAGGGAGTATATATGCTTATTCTATGTTTTCTTGATATTTTGCTAAAACAGATGATACTGTGTTTAGGCCATTCTACCAAAATTATTTATTTAAAATCTGTTTCTTCTACTAGAATATGAGATTCTTTTTTTTTTTAACTAGATATTTGTAGTAATGTTTAGAATATAGTAGTTGCTCAGTAAGTATTTGTTAGACAAAACCAATACTAAACTAAATACAACCTCGATAAAATGTATAAAAATGCTTAAGAAAAATTACGGAATTTTATCTATTCACAAGTGTCTGACATATCAAAAAATATGGTTTCCAAATATACATAGAATCTCAAACACACACACATATACATTCTCCCTCTTATCAGACTGAATGTGCCTGAGGACAAGATACGTATCTGATTTGTCTGCATGTTAAGTACATTATCAGGAAGTGCACTGCACCTATCTATATGTAGCAGCTCCCTAGTAAACCTTTGTTAATGTAAGGAAGTGCGAATAACTACAAAAAAGAGTCAGAAGAAGGGAGTGAATATTTTTCATATATTTATCATTAAAGAAATTTTAACTTACCCAACAGAGTCAGGGAGAGCAAAGTCAAAACCAAAATAGCATTTACTATTCCAGATACTCCCAAAAAGATTTTATACCAGTGCAACATCACAGAACAATCTGAAAGATTAATTATATGAATTAGCTTAGAAAAGTATGTTCTTAAGAAGTGATGGCAGTTGTAATAATAGAACTGTATGTAATATCAGCTTTAAATTTTTAAATATTAGGTAATCAAAAGCATAAAACCAAAGGAAATAGAAAAATACACATTTATTTTATTTAATAATGATAATACTCTGATGGTCAGAAGCTATGACATATATTACATTGAATATTAAAAAATTGCTACTATTTGACATAATTGACCAGTGGAAAAAATAATTTTAATACATACACCTAATGACTCCCCAAACATGCACACAACACAATCACCCACACACATACATGCTAACACACAAGCACACTCAGGTATGTGGGCATGTACACTAACAGATACATATATATATTCACATAAATAAATATTTTCTAATTAATCATTTGCTTTAATGTAATTTTCACAAGTCATTTCACCTGTATCATTTACTAAGGATATGAATCAAAACTAAATATGACTCCTGCTATGTGTTATTTTAATCTGAAAAAGTCCTAAAATTCTTTCTAATCCATATAATAATAGTGCTTCAAGTTCTGATTTTTGGTAAACTCCTATAGAGTGACTACTGTTTTGCTTTTCATATATCAACACTGTTAGGTTGAAGATGAGAGCGTGCACTCAGCGATGGTTATTAATCAACAAACTGATACCATTAGACAGAAAGTAAATACTCTCATTCAGTGTCTCAAGTACACATGTTGTTATGTTTTCAACCTCATTATGAGGATTTGCATTGGTGGACGATGGTTTATAGAATTTATAAGCAATTAGTTTATACTAAATATATGAACATCTATGATTTACGTAATAGTTTATGTCCTCATCAAAGATAATTTTTGCAAATGCGTTATAATAATTGGTAAAAAATTACTTCTCATAACTGTGGTAATCCTTATTGTTCAGTCAATAAACTAAATTTTAATACTGAAATTTATATTCCAAATACTCTTTAAACCTGTGGAAATAGAGATCGTACATTTGAAGTTGTAAAACTCTGTCAAGAAAAAGCATAATAAGCCATATAGAACAATATTTCAGTGAAATAGCACATAGCTTTTTTCTTATCATAATACTGACAAATATAGAGAAATAAATTTTATCAAAATTCAATTAATAATGAATACACTGCATTTCCCAGATTATTTTTTAATGCTTTGATACATTAGTAATGATAACCAATAGTCCCAAGAATTCAACACATGTGAAAAAAGTTATTTATTTATTTTTAAAAATCAAAGAAATGATTATCTTAACATGTTAGGAGGTAGTCAAGAAAACACTTAAAAAGATAGATATACAAAATGGTACAATCCTATGGAGGGACATTTGAGAAACAACTAGCAAAATTATATAGGCATTTACATTATCAACTAGCTATCTCTCTTGTGGAAATTTGTCCTGGTGACATATTGGCAAAATATGAAAAGACATATGTGCAAGGCATTTCAATACTATTTCTAATGGAAATGTAATAAAAAAAGGTAAACATCATAACTGTCCATCAATAGAGGGACTAGTTGAATAGAGTGAAAAGAATAGGATGGAAGCTGGATTTACGGGTGTTGGAGATATCTTAAAGTACCTTGCTATACAGGTTTGACTTTGAAAATATATAAATATTTTACATTATTATAAAATGATAATTAAATTGTATAATATGTATTACATATAATTATAATTGCAAAATATGTTTACTTATACATATTTATAAAATAAGCCAAAATTTTAAAAAGTGATCCTTAACAATAAAATGGAATATGAATTAATAGACCTTAACTGAAGATTAAGTTAATGGCTTAATTGTAAGAAAGGAATTATTTCAAGTGATTTTAAAACAATTTGAATGTGCAAGACCAGTGGAATGAATACATACAAAGGCCCCACAAAAACCCCTGCAAAAACATTTTAATCTATTTTTCTAATGTGTAATTAGTAAAGGATGACTATTAGCTTATACAACTTAGATAAAGCTAGAATTTGCAAATTTATTATTTGTAGCTTCCTGAGTTCCTTTTCTGTACCACAACACATTTGGGCTTCCGAATGACATCTACAAACTGAATATGAAAAGATTTTGCACAGAGGAGCCACTATATTGTGTGATCTTTCGAGTTAATATATCTATTTTCTAAAACAAATTTTTAATCTGGTGGAAAACATTTTAAAGTTTTTGACAAACCCAATAAAAAATAAGAATTAAAAATGCCGTATTTTATGTTTCCTGAAAATCATTAAGAAATTATATGAGACAAATATTACTTTAAAAGCAAAAAACTGTTAGTCCCACATTAATAAATGAAAGACAGAGACAGAAACAGAAAGATAGAGAGACAAGATGGAGATAGAGACAAGGAGAAGAAAGCTCCAAAAAACATCAAAACAAAACAACGAAACAGTTCAAGAACAGAAAAGAACAGAATATTGGAAATTACTTTCCACACTAATATTCATGTTAATATTAACCCATACTAAATCCATACCCATACTAATCCACATACTTGGGAAAAAACCTGAATTCCATACCTTTAAATTTAAGTTGAGATGTTTGAATTGAACTTCTTTTTTTCAACTTAAGATTCAATGTCATGTATCTTTCTTCCTCTTGCATCTTCAGTGTGAGTGAATGTGTATGTATGTATATGTACGTTTGGTTTTTTAACTATGATATATAATGAGAAAATAATAATTCTGATGCTAATCAGAGCTTTGTCCTCAAACTACTAATTTGTCCTCAGGCTGTCCATTCAGGGTACCTACAAGGGTTCACGGTTTCATCTTTGGTGAAAACCTCAGAGGAAATGTTTTTTTTCTCATGACCTAGATAACACATAACTTCTCAACTATCCACCACGTATTGTATTTAATATTACATTTGTTCTTTTAAAAATTTCTCCTGATAATCTCATAAAGTCAGGAGAATGGAAGTTTTACCCCTTTAAGAGTTAAATCATATATAGCTGCTTTTTTTTAGCCTAAATACGTAAATTTTCAATCACACTACCTAAAATATTGATATTTAATATAACTTCCAATTATCTAACAGTTAAATTATTTTCAGATCCTAAAACAACATTGATTATAAATTATGCTAATAATATAATTATATGATTTGAAGAAAAAAATACTGGCAATATTTGGCATTCTAAAGACATCCTAAATATTAAAAAAAAATTCAAGAACTTAGGAAAGAAACCATATTTTCCAATGACCTTTTTGGTATTTGAAGAGACTACCCAATATTTATGAGACAGGGCAGAAATTTATTTGTTTGTTTGTTTGTTTGTTTGTTTGTTTCTCTTAGTTTCAGTGAGGTCTAATTTATATACCATGAAATTCGCTTATTTTATGTATATAATTGGATTAATTTAGCAAATATATAAATGTATATGACCTTTACCAAATCTAGTTTAGAACTTTTGTATCACTCTAAAATATTCCCTTCTGCCAAAACTAAAAAGAGTAATATAACTCTGGAAATACTAACTTTATATATTGAAATAAAATCATTTAAAATTTTGGTAACTAGATCCCAAATCTCTGGCAATTGTAGCAAATCTAGAATGGAAACCCAAAGACGTTAGCCACAGACTTTCCTAGTGTTTAGCTAAAGATTAAGTACGAAGGCAAAATTTGGTGAAGGTATTCCATTGAGGGAAGGAAATGTCTACAGAGAGAGCAGCATGGGGGAGCTTTGCACTTCATTCTGTGCATAGATTTGTTCATCTCACAATCACAGTGGCAGGCTCTTTTCTTTAAGGCCTCACACAACCACCAGAGAGCACCAGTTCACAAGCGGAACTGAAGGTTTGCTCTTGCGAGTCCTTGCTAGAATACAGAAAGTGAAGGCTGAAAGGCATCATTGTGTCAGAAACCAGCTCACTGATTTCACTTACTCCTAGAGAGTCATTCAGAACACGAAATCATCAGACGGGCGTTTTAACTCACTGACTCCGTGGCTTCTACTAATTAACATGATTCTTTTCTTGGAACCTGCAAAACAATCAAGCTGGTTGTTTATTTAATATTTAATAAGTATCTACACTGATATGGTTATTGTGCTCAGTACTGCCCCACATTACCAATTAATATCTGCCTTTATTCACCAAGTCTTTTATCCAGGGATGATAAATCATTCTTTTTTAAAGTTAATTTTAAGATTACCTTCCCCATCAAAATTTAAAATTCTTAAAGTAAAATGAATTCGAGTAATTTAGATTTAGAATGTTTCTGTATTATTGAATATGTATTTCAAGTTTATGACAGAAAATAATAAACATCTATGCAATTGATTTGTAATTCCACTGTACTAAAGTCAACTCTCCTGAAATCAGTGATAAATTATTTTTGGGGAGGGGGGAGGCACAAACACGTATTGCTTTATTTCATGTTTCTCTGGATTGCAGAAGTATCAGCAGTGGGCTGAGCCCGCAGGAGGATGGAGGTAGCTGGGCAGTCCCCAGGCCCTCTGGGGAGGTGGTGGGGAGTGGGGGGAAGTAGCAGAAAGAGGTGATGTCCCTGCAGCTCCTCCCTAGACCAGCCCCTTCCCCAGATTCTCAAGTCAGGAAGCAGATCAGGGCCCAGGAAGAACTCCACATTCTTAAATTGAGGCCAAAATTATGTGGGCAGGGAGTTTGTCATCCTAAGGTATGGACTTGGGCAGAAGGGCTTCTCCATCCCGTGGCCTCCAAGGATGATTGCTCGTCAGCGGCCACAGGCACCTGAGCCTGTTTCATGGGGCCCCTGTCTCTAGAAGCAGTGAGGTGTGCTGAGGATAGGGCTGCAATCCTGGTTTTGCCTCAATTTGCTGGCTAAAGGGCAAGTGCCTTCCCCTCAATTTTATTATATGAAAAATACATAGGCCACAAATAAACAAATTTCACTGCTTTATGAACATATTTCCTCTTAAGAATTCTAAGTAAATAATAACTTACAAAAGTTTAATTTGAAATGCTCTCAGTACCAATCTGTTTTGAAGACCCTATGTCAAATAGCTCTTAATAACCTTGATTCTAATATTACTTTAAAATTAATTTATTTTCAAGGAGAAAAAATGGAATTAATGAATTGTGTGTTATATTTTGTGTTAAAATAAGTGACACTAAGATCTGTGTAAACCTTTGTTAAAAAGTTATGCTCCAAGTATGGCAACGATGAAAAATGCAATGTTTCTTCTTTTTCTGCAAAGTCATCACCCTAAATGATTCTGACTTCTTATTTCGTATCAGTGAGAAAGCAAAGTGGAGTGTGGGTCTGCAGAGAAAATAACTGAATGTTTTATATCGTTTTGAATTGAGATCAAAGAGCAGTAAAAAACAAAACCAAATTTATGATTAGTTCTAATTTACTCAATATCTTAGAATTTGAAATTTTTATCTCTATTTTTTTTGTTGTTTAAAAATAAATAAAATGTAAGACTCAGTAAATGAAGACATAATTCTAGCAATGGCCTAATTATATATAAGTCATATATATCCTTTTTTAATTTCCTTCCATAAGCATTTCCTCTTGTTACCATTGGAAGTGATTTGAACTTAGGTGTCACCCCAATGGCAGGGGCGTGATAATGGCACAGAAGTGTAATTAGCATTTTTCTTTGGTTCCTCATTGATGCAGTGAAGAATCACAGAAAAGATTTATTGAAAGTATATTTTAGAAAGACAAAGCACGCTCCAAGGAGGAACATGGTTTTAGCGAAGAGAGCTATAGCAACCTAGAAGTGGGAATACCTGAATTATTTAAACTGTGATCAGTGGTTCCAAAGTCATTCTTAGGTTATTGGCGGTGAAGTCATTTTGATTGGCACATGGCTGCTGTATAACACTGCCTAGTACGTATGCGCTTACTCAGAATTCTGTTCTAATTAGATTCATGAACTTCCAAGCATAAATATGGTATTACAATGACAGTATAATGAGCATTAGGTTGTGGGCAGATTAGGGTAGTATCTTCTGCACAGGCATCTGTGGCCAAATTAAACCAGCTATAGATTATGGCCCTCCTGTCTTTTGTCTCTTGGAATGCAGAAGGGATTCTCAAACTACCAATGGAGTGTTCTTTGGGTGGTCTCCAGGCTGGGCCTCTATTTTTTGGTTCTCCTGACGCTCATGTCTGGCTAGCTACCTAACACTCCTGTGTATATATTAACGAAAGAAATTTCACCAGTGAGTATGCACTTTCAATGCAGGTTCATAAAAATAACATTCTACATAAATCCTCCACTGTCAAATCAGATTACAGAGGAAGCTGTATATTGTAGTTACAAATATTAATAATTTTAAAAAATCAAAAAGAGTTAATACAGGACAAAGAACAACCTTTATGTATATTTCACAAGGGAAGATTGATAGTGATGGAGTCCAGTGGAAGTGCTAGAGGTAGTGAAGATGGTAATTTCAGTATTAATGAAATTAATGGTATTACTAGTACATTTTCTCTAGCAGCCAAAAGAAGAAAGTTTATGAAGGAAAGTGAAATATTAATTTGTTCAAATTCTTCTGAGAAGTTCATTGAGGGGAAGATTAAGTACTGAATAAAGAAGATAGCAATAGGTTAACAATTACCTTGACAATATAAGAAAAAAATGATTTTAAGATTTATCCAGAAGAATACAGCAGAAGATCCAAGATCTCTTTTCCCCTATAGAAAGAATATTGTGGTGTCTTCAGCAATCAGATGCTAAATAATAACAACAAAAACAATTATAATATTAACGTTTTCCCAAACTAAAAAACAATAACCATTTAGGTCTCAGCTTACTTTTAAATTTTTGAATAATTTGACTAGATGTGAAAACTAACACTGATAATCAGGTGGATCTGCCTAAAACCCATGTAAAGGCCAATGTGTCCAATCTCAGATTGCTACAGTGGTCTACATACCACTGCTCCTTGAATTTCCATCATTCTTCTATGGCAAATATACGAAAAGTCTTGAGGATGTAAACTTAAATTACAATAAATCTTTGGTGGTTAACTGACCCAAGAAATCAATGCAATACAAATTGTACAAAAAACTTTGATCGTTGAGACCAGACTGCCTACCAAGATACCATCAATATCATCTGCCCAGAAAAAAAAAAAGCAGGAGATTTTTTTAACCAGCTCAAGCTGTGTATCTAATGGACCACTGGTAATGAAATTTTTTCAGAGCTACAGAGTCATGACATCTTTCAAAGCAGAGTACAACTAAAGAAGATACATCATACCTGAAAGTTATAAGGCTTCTGTGTCTTACTGCTTGGAGCTGATATCTGTGTACATTTTATTCTGCAGTGTCTAATTCTTTCCTAGGCAAAGCCTAGAAGAAATTTCCTGAATTATTTAGAGAAGTCTTCTCTGATCACATTTTCTAATACTATGACCTCCAATCTACTTACTTTGTCACTCAATATTATATGCACATACTGATTTATTGATTCATTTAACAAAAAAAAATATTGAACATCTACTATCTGCCTGGCAATGTTCTAAGCACTGGAGATATAGCAGTGAATACAACAAAACTGATGCTCTCATGCTGCTTATATTCAAATAGAAGGAGATAACACCAATAAACACACAATGAAAGAACTATATAACAATTCAATTGGTAAGGGAGTGCCTTGAAGAA